AGACGAGTTCTGAAGTGGAGACCGCGTCTAGGCAAACGTAGTGTAGAACGTCCTCAGGCATGATGGAGTGACGATATGCGCAAGGTGGCTGGCAGGAGCTGGATGCGAGTAGCCCAAGATCGATCTGAGTGGCATCCAATTGGAGAGGCCTATGTCCAGCAGTGGACTGGAATAGGCTGTTGATGATTAGTTCTATAAAAAATCCGCGACAGCATGTTTTAACGGAATTGTTTTCCGACGTTCAACCGAAATTTTCAATTTCTAATGCAGGGGCTTACCGAGCGTTTCTTTTTGCGATACTCGTCAGTGAATTGAGATGTTATACACCATGACAGCGGCCTACTTATTACATAATATCGTGTCAATGTCGGCGTCGAATAACTGTGTCTAAGTCGCATCGACTAACGGACCGATTGTTGGCGGCCAACGGAGCGTGAGGTTGCGGTATACCTCAGTTTGTATTTTTTTCCCCAACTGGTTTGGGAAGATGTTATGGCGATTTAGGTGGCGATGCTACTAAACTGGCCATTGTTTCCACTGGTAATAGTTACGTGTCTGCCGTTCTCAGTGTTTGATTACGGCCGCTGATTGTGGTTCTTTAAGAGGACTGTGCGTATAGTTATCATAAATATGAAGATTCGAAGATCAGTACCTATATAGATTTTACCTTACATCTTTGAGGTTGTAACTGCTTCCAATTAGCAATGATTTTGACTGATGTTGACTTGATTGATTTAATAATAAATTAGTAAAAATACTGGAAATTTTCAAGATTTTCTACTGTTACTAGTACAAGTGGTGCCTTTATTTTATATATGAATGAAGGTTCTTCTTATATACATTTACTATTTGGTAAGTTTAAAAAGCTTTCTTGCAAAAAGCTAATAGAGTAATCTCAATATGGCTGTCACTAACAGTGATATCATCATATATATCATACATTATATCGAGTCCGGTTATGATGTAGATGCGACTAAACAGCGGATGTCATGAATCATCTAACATTATGTTAATACACGGATAATTGCACTCACATTGGTGCTGCATTAACATATGCTTTCACATACATTAAGATCGCACGGTAATTGTCTTAAAATTATAGAGATTTTTTTAAACATTATAAATATGCTATTGGCTGTACTTATTTTGTACAAGCTTTTTGCAGTAATTATTATTATTTTGTAATCTGGAAATATACTATATACATTTCAGATGTAAATGTTAAAAGCAGCAGAGTATGAGATAAGGGAAGCATTTTTTTATAATTTGATAAACTAATATATCACACGCTATAAAAAAAGTAATACCTACTAAGTTATTATAACAAAGATAAACGTTTGCCGGGAGAGACCCTCTTTAGATGGTTGTCTAAATTAACAAAACCTTGTTTCGTGAATTAGGATTTCGTGCACATAACATTATCAAAACTCCACGAAATGTAAAGAGAACAATCAAAAAGTTTTTGAACTAGGTACGCGATGTTTAAAGGATTTTGACCGTTGTAATTGTGTTACACGCGGGCTACATTAAAGCCAGCCAGTCTGCAGAAGGTTTCGCGTAAAATGATCTTAAGCTTCATCATGACTGGAATGCGCAATTTGCTTTCTGGTTTTGTAATTGCCAAGGGCTTCGTTTTTGTTTTGAGCTTACAGCGTGTTACATAACAAAAAATCACTGTGTAAAAGAAAACTCCTAATTTAATGCCTACATTAGTAGTTATTTCTATAAAAAAAAATAAGCTTTTGTGAAACACTTAATAATAGTTTAATCAAAACACTTGTAGCATTGACTGCGTGGACTTCCTTACATATAAAAAGCTTACCTTATTATCACAAAAACGTTTGACATGCTTTCAACACGAGTTTAAGAAAAAATGTCATACAAAATTTACCTAAATAAGGTTTGAAACCGTGTCTAACTTTTTTGTAGTAAGACCATAACTCCCTTATATAATAATAATCGAGGAATATGCCTAGACTAGTTACTCCGTGTATTGTTATTATCACTCTGATGCCACATATCATTCAATGAACAGACGCAAAACATAATATATATATATATATATATATATATAAACTAATCCAAGCTTATTCTTCGTTTACTATTTTTTTTTCTCTTTATTGGTTTACTAATAAGGACCCTCTTATTAGTAAACGAATAAAGAGAAAAAAAATTATATGTTTTTATAAAAATTAAATACGATTTCGTTGTTATTTCCTTATTCAAATAACTATTTGATACAGTCATGCAAAATATCATTTAAGATTTTAGTTAGTTACGTATGATGTGAAGAAATAGCACTGTATTGTAGCCCAAGGTATACTAGAAGAAATTCGATACATTTGTAGGATAATAGTCAGTGCACTAGCCGAGATACTGAGGGTATTCAGACGATTCCAGCACATAATAGTTGGGCCTAGTTTTACGTTTTCTCGTAAAAAAACTTTAGATATTCTTATGTTTACCTAAATGTAGCAGTTAAATGCTTTAAAAAGTAGTTTTTTATAAACGGTTTTTTTTTCAATGATGTCATTTAAGTAGATGACAACGGAATTGCAACGCGCCGAACCATTATTCAGCACCGCGTGGTGTTTTACTACCTTATATAATTCATATATCACAAGGCAAAGTTTACTGACCCCATAAATACTTCGAGATCAAGAGGCAGGTGTCCCACATAATTAGTGGGCAAACATCTTGTCAAAACACAACGGAACTTCACGCTCGCCGCGAGGTCGAAGAAATTGCTATCGAATTAACTGGCAACATCGTAACTGACAATGTTCATTGAAGCATTTAAGGGGAAAATATAGAACTAGCGGTAACAAAAGAAGCCTTAGTGCAATGAACAAAAAATAGGCGCCGACTCTTCGAAAAGGTTGCGCGTACAAAACTAGTTCCACTTTGTGCGACAATGACCGTGACTCCACCTGTCATACTGGTTTATTTACTTTGCTTTTTTTATTTGGCTCATGAATATTATTAACATAATGTTTGCTTAATTTTTGCACTTCATTATACTTCACTTGATGGTTTTGATATAAATTAATGAACTTGATATGGTAAGACACCAAAATTTGAAAACTGCTATTATTTTATTAAGTACACACAATTTATAATAAATAATAATAATAAAAAAAAAATGGGTGCGTGTACTTATGTAGGCGCGTGAGAAGTTATCGTTTAAAATTAGTTTTTAATTGCATGCAAATAATTAATTACAATAAATTAATAAAAAGTCTGGAAAAGGACACAGTCAATAAAGTTCAATTTTAATTTGAAAAAATAAATAAATAATCAAAATATTCAATTAATATCGCTACTGAATATAATTTATTAGAACATATGTGATTTGCACTTGTATGAAACTCAAACACGTATTCCGAATATACAAACTAGAAACATGTGGATAAATATTATAAATATGAATACCTATAACTGTTACTTTATTACAAAAAATAAAGATGTGGTTTTTGGTTCTACTACACCAATGGTCAAGAGATGGCGAGATCTCCTGAATCGCGCTTTGGTTCCGTTGTTCCAGATTAATAAATACTTTTGATAGGCCTTCACAATGCAGTCGTTAGCACCCACTAAATAGAGATTCTATTTCTATTTTGTTGGTAGATTTTCTTAATGTGCGGTAAACACAAAAGTAACGCATGAAGTTGGTCGCTAAAGCGACCAACTTCATGCTGTTAAAATTTTGTGTTACAGTGATGCGCGCGCATCTTAAAATTTCACTCTCATCATTTTTTCATAACGCGCCTAAAGAAGTATAACTTCAATAAATATTTCCAACACTCACACCAATTAGCCTAGCCCCAAAGTAAGCACTGTTAAAGGCTTGTGTTATGGGATACTAGGGTAAAGGATAGAATACATATATTGTACATATATAAGTATATTTATATGAAATAAATTAAATTAAACATCCATGACTGGAGTACAAATGCTCGTATTCATCACACAAACATCTGCCCCCACCGGGATTCGAACCTCTCGAGTCGGCGACGCCATGAAACCCGGCGTATAAACCACTCGGCCACGGAGGTCATTTGAAATTTGAAAGCAGACTTATAAATTTAATTTTGTTTTCAATTGTATGCAAGCAATAACAATGTAAAGCAATATTTTAAATATATTAATTTAAACGCAATGAAAGTAGAAACAAAAATTTCTAAATTTTTGATTTGCAATTTAAGTGTCAATTTAATATAGGCTTGAAAAAATAACAGTTAACAAAAAAAGCCTAATTTTTTAGTAGACATTTACATTTAAGTATCGGCATTGCAAGAGCCTCAATTTTTTTTACGGTAGTATATTTCTAAGAATATGTGTTTCATGCTTATATTTTTATAGTATTTAATACACAGACCCGTGCAAGTGATTATAAAGTCCAGTTAAATTAATCCAATACTATTTTTCTTATTTTCTTTTTCTTATCAAATAAACTCAAGAGGGCATAGCGGATTTACCACTCGAATAATAATATACTGCACAGGGTTACCGAGATAAGAGACTTGGGTATTTTTTTAAGATAGTGAACTTCTTTTTGATTCACATGTTAATATCTATCATTGGTATGATGTTGGTATGATATCATTGGTCGTGCTTACAGAATGCTTGGCTTCATCTTTCGACAAAGTTCTGATTTTAAATCACCTAGTACTTTGATACTGTTATACAATTCGTATGTAAGATCAATATTGGAATACGCATCAACAGCTTGGAATCCCCAATATTCAATTTATATAGATTCCATAGAAAATATAAAAAAGAAGTTTATTACGTTTGAATTATAGATATCCTGAATTCTGTACAGAAATAATCATACTTTTGAATCTGCGTAGAGAGTACCGCGATCAAATTCTGCTTTTTTAAAATAATTAATAATATTATCGACTCAAGATATTTAACCAGTATCATATTTTATAAATGTAGAAAATCTTCTCTGAGGTCTACTAAAACATTTGCCCTGCCTTTGTGTCCCACTAACTATGATAAGAATAGGTTTACCTTATGGTTAACCTTATGGTTACTTTATAGGATCTTATGATCCTGTAGTGCCTACGATAATAGATATCAACATTTCGACATACACACATCAAAAGTGTCTAGGGATCAAGCATTTTTATGCGGATTTCTTGAGATTGAGATGTGGCTTTGTAATAAATTTATGATTTTATAAATTTATATGGATCCTTTTTGGTGCATTTCATAATTTGAATCAGGAACTGTGAATCAAATTCGAGTAAAAGATGAAAATCAGCTGTCAATATTTTCCCTATAAAAACATACAACGCATTGAAGACATTATTAGTGCTACTGTTTCCCTACTACTGATTAAAATCAACGTTATTATGGAGCGGCGACGTCATTTAAGCAGGGAAGAAATGCTCAGAGCCGTGGGAATGATAGAAGCTGGTTCCCGGCAACGTACTGTGACTTTAGCTCTGAATACAAGTCAGAGTGTTATCAGTCGACTTTGGACACGATACCGAAGCACTGGTACCGTGGCTGAGCGCCATGGAGGACGGTATCGCTGCACCACACGGAGACAAGACCGATACATTCAAATCTTAACTCGAAGAGCTCCAACAATAACCGCCATGATGTTAGCCGTGAGGCTTCATCACTCTTCAGGGAACTTAATTAGCGACCAAACAGTCAGAAACCGCTTGCATGAAGTGAACCTTCATTCCCGAAGACCGCTACGGGTACCACCTATAGCAATGCACAATCGTAGGATTCGATATCAATGGGCTCTTGAACACAGAAATTGGGCAGAAGAACAATGGCGTTTCGTGTGCTTTTCTGATGAGTCTCGTTTTGGTATGAGACCGGATACAAGACGTATACGACACTGGAGAACCCCTGGACGCCAACAGCGATTAAAATCCTGCCAGGAAGTCCATCCTTATAGTGGTGGAACCATCATGGTATGGGCGGGTATTTGGATCGGCGGAAGAACTGAGTTGATTTGGATCAGAGGCAACCTCAACGCTCAAATTTATGCTGAGACGATTGTATCAGACGTCATCGTTCCTCTACAAGTGCAAATCGGTCCCTTATTTCAGTTAATGCATGATAATGCACGACCGCACACCGCAAGAGTTGTAAGACAGACTCTCGCCGCAGCTAACATCAATGTCCTGCCCTGGCCTGCTCAGTCGCCAGACTTGAACCCGATTGAGCATGCATGGGATATGCTACAGAGAAGAGCTCTGCCGAATATGGAGGGTATCCAGTCGCAAGAAGACCTTTTTTTGTTGTTGCAACGAACATGGGCGGCCATTCCACAGCGTGATTTGGATGAACTCATTTTGAGTATGCCAAACCGATGTTCTTGTGTTGTTAGTGTTCGCGGTAGAAATACGGATTATTAATTGTTTAAGTTACCCAATAAAATTTTAGAGAAAACTGTTATTTCAGTCTTTTTTTCGAACTTTTGTGTTAGTGGTTCAAATGTCAAAAATCCCTTTATTAGGAAAATGGCAAATTTCTTTATTAATGCAAAGGTGACTTGGTTTATCGTTACTGTGACAAACGAAAACACTTTATTTGATGAATCCTTAAAGAAAATTTTAATTAATATCAATCAGGAGAAAAGTTATTGCAAAAATATATGTTGATCCCTAGACACTTTTGATGTGTGTATTTTGTCTTAGTTAAGGTTAAAAAATCTATATCGTCTTGTTTTAATTGAATTGTTATTAGGCCCATTATTTACATTCAATGTTTGTTAAATTTTGTTTTCATATTGTTTTTAATGACATACCTACATAAGTTCTAAGAGACTCATCAAAATTTCAAATATTCAAAATTATTCAACATTTCAAATATTTATACAAAATCTTGTTTATCCCTGTAACAGTTATGAGATTAAATTTAAAATCTACTCAATCTAAAGTTTTATTACGTCGTGGAAATCTGATTTAGCTTATGTATACATCAAATATTTTGTACTCAAATGTATTACAATAAGGCTGTATGTTTTCCTTAAATAATAAAAAACTCCACCTTACAGAAGACCACAGTAACACAACACTACCTTGTGGTGGTCTGTGAGTAAGATTTTAGGGCTCCAGGGGAACAGTGTAGACAACAACGGTGCGAGTGATGTTTTTCAAGCGTCTCCGGCTATGGTGGATGCTTACCATCAGGCGGGCCATAGGCTTGCTTGCCACCCTTTTAACAACAAAAAAACAAAAAAAAAACTCAAATGCATTGAAGTTTTAATTTGTTATTTTGTTCAGTTTCAGGAAATCACCGAGGTGGTGAGGATGCGGCTCCTGTTATGTCTCCTCGCAGTTGCCTGCGCACGGGCAAGGGAGCATGATGGCAGGTGTGTAGACTTTTTAATGTCTTATCTATTTATAAATATATAAATATTTCTAACACTCTTACCAAATAGCCTAGCCCCAAAGCAAGCACTGTTATGCCCGGGTTGCACGGGTATAGTTTTTCAAGCCAGGATAGCAAGCTAGTTCTCTACTAAACTGTCCTGGCTTGCTGACCTGTCTTGGTACATACTGTTTTTGTTTACATAAGGCTAGTTTATTTTAAGCTAATACTATTGCAGTGTCTGAGTATACCACACGTCTAATATGAACTGCATGCGAAAAAAACACTATTGGACTGAAACACATTTTAATACATAACACCTCGTATCTCCGAAGAAGGAAACGACCCCCAGGATAGCAAGACTTATACCTGCTTATTTTGTTTTAGTGGTTGTTCACCCTTAATTTTTAAGTAACCTTAATTAAAGTATTAATTAAATGCTTGGAACCCAAGGCCGATCAGACAGAACTCAAAAGAACCACCATTGTGTATAAAGTAATATAATACTGTTATATATATAACAAATTTGTTATTTTATTGTATGGTGTTGAATTTCAGTAAAAGGACCCTAAGAATGAAATTCATATTGCATCTGTTAGAAAAATATAAATATCCTGGTTCCTGTTTACTATTCAACTGAAAACTAGCTGCGCCAGCCATATGAAACTAGTACACAAGCCACGATAGTAAAGTCAAAGGACCCCAGCGCTACTAGCCTAAAAAATAGAACTCCATCCTATAAAAACTGTCCTGGCTTGTAAATTAGCTTACTAGTTTAGAAATGAAGCTAGTTTTGTCTACACGAATCCAGGAAGTACTAGCTTGCTAGCTTACTGCCACTAGCTCGCTATCCTGGCATGAGAAATTAGCCTCGTGTAACACACTCATTAATGAATGGTTCGAGTTGATACAGTGACGATCCTTTTCCAAGTTGATATATCTTCAACGACCCTTACTTGGTACTTTTTGAAATCCTCTGTTGCCTTAATAATGAACATTCGTAATCATATGAAAAGATGAAAAGCCTGTACCAAAATAGCGATATTCATTAACTAAGGAGTGTTCCAATATTTTCCTATGAACACTTCATGTTCAATTTGTTTTTATATCAGGAATCATTTCAGTTGCATTTTAAAGTAATTGAAAACCTACTACTTCCGCTATCCAGGTGGATAAACTAAAATTATGCTCCCGAGACACCGTAACGGCCGTGTCAAATTTCCTTAGCAGTCTTAAGTCTGCAAGGCAGAGACATCTTTTCGCATAACCCACAACGTGAAACGTAAAACCTTTACAAGTATTAAACATTTGCAAGAAGAAATAATTACTGTAGATTATCATATTTTTTATTTAATGCTTATATAACTGCTATATGTTCAAACATAAAAAAGAATACGAGAAAAATATTCACTCCTTCACGTCCTGTCTGAAACCTGGCAGCAGTTAAAGTTAAATGCTTATAGTAAAAATATAACAATGAAACCTACTTAATGCAACAAAACATTTCCATAACATTATAAGTAGCTTTCATAAGGTCAGGATTTTGTGTTGGTAATTTTTTTATAATGAAACATTCGGATCTTAATTTTAATTGAAGTTAACTTTTTCATAAGTATGTAAAAATTTAATTTACGTATGTAAAATTTAATTAATTTAAGTTTTGGCCGATTTCTTATATTAATAAGTATGTTTGTTTCTATTTCAGGGCCAAAAAGCAACCATTTGTTGTGGATGCCGTCGGTAATACGTTACCACCACCGTCAAACGTTCCAGCAACAGTTGGAAGCCCAGTAAATTTGCTAACTCCAGATCGATATGAATTTTATACGTTCGATGAATCTGGAGAGTTAGTGAAAAGGCTGATGACCCTTGAAGAGATACAAGCAATAGTGGCGGCAGGAGAAGAAGCAGAGGGTTTGGTTACTTTTGCCAATGATAATCAACCAACAGCAGCATTTAACTTCAGCCAACCTTCATATAATAAAGTTCACAGTGTAGTCACTAACGTCCAAAATGTCCTAAAAGCACAGATGGAGGCACACAAAAATAATCCTATACCTCAACCTACATTAGATACCCCTGATGTCTCTGATTCATGGAGTTTAATTTTACCATCTATATTTGGTAACACCGGTCTTGATATTGTCCCTGATAAAATACCCAGTATTGTCACCCCTCCGGAAACAGATACATTAGAATTTAACGACTCCAGTCTAGATATTGATTCCATGAGTAAAGAAGGTGTTGCTGATGTGCTGAGTAACTCAACAACAGCAAACTCTGATGACAGTCTTAACCCTGTAACTTCTTCTACTGAAGAGATCAATACTAGTTCAGCTACAACAACAAAACTTAGTCCTACGATTACTAAAGCAACTGTAACCACTACCACTACCACCACTACACCCTCAACGACGACGTCAACAATACGATCAACGTCGACTACGTCTATCAAAACTACTACAACTCGAAAGCCTGTCAAAAAAGCTACTACGACGTCAAAACCACTCACAGTTAAAGCTTCAACTAAGCCCGTAACAAAGTTAACTACGGTTTTGCCTACAACGAAAGTCACTAAGCCACATTCCACAACTATATCTAGCAAAGATGTATCTACATCAACAACGTTACCATTGATATCACCGGCTACAAATAAAATACGGGCAACAACAACGCGACCAAAAATAACAAGTACGGTGGTAACTAACTCAGATACAAAATTAACCACACCGAAAACAGTTACATCAACTAAAAAAATTGAGAAGCATACATCTAATATAACGACACTTAAACCTCTTACTACGCTGAAAGAACAGACTGTACTTGAAACAACACAAAAGACGGTTGAATCTAATATTAACAGAATTGAAATTTTAAATGACAATGCTGTATCGGACAAAAATACAGTAACTTATGAAAAAATAAATACACTGATTCCTATTTCTACTGCTTTACCGGTTACAGAGAAAACAACACAAAAAGCTGAATCTAATAAACCATTTGAAACATACATAAGCACAACAACGTTAACTGTTGATACTACGCAAGAAAAAAAACACATAACATCTCAACCAACTCCGCCTGCGGTAACCACATATAAACCAACGACAGTAAAATTCAACTATGCCCCGTCAACAATATCGAATCAAGAATCTGAAAAATCGAATACCACTACTATAACTACGCAATCAGTATCGCCCTCCACCACAGTATCATCAACTGAATTTGTTACAGCAGAAAATATACAAAGCAGTGAATTTTCAGGTACAAAACCCACCCAAGAAAATGACGGTAGTGAAAACAACCAATCAGACGTACCGTTGTTTGATGTTGCACAGAGTATAAGCCAAATAGCATCCGATCTTGGTAGTAACTATATGCCTGTCCCTACTGTTAGTAATTTAGTGGATACGACAAAAGTCAATCACATAGATTTGGAGAGCAAAGAAAATTTTGAAATAGATATTCTCTCAGAAAATGATACTGATACTAAAAATAGAAATATTACAGAAAACAATAATGACAACTTTGTCAAAATATCAATGTTGGACCCTCACACTCAAGATAATGATAACACTCCTACTGAAAAAGCAATATTTGACAAAACCTCAAGTTTAACACTGATTGATATTACTGAAAAAAATCCAATGACTCCAGTAGAAAGTACTACCATGGATAAAATTTTGTCTGAATCAATGGGAGATCTTTTGTCTCAAGTAGTTAATCAAGGACCGCAATCTGTTAAAGAATCAGAAATGAAATGGGAAAGTGAGAACAAAGCGACAACCACCGAAAATAATATACAGAACTCCCTTAGTGAAAACTATTCAGAGATAACTACTATGACTTCTGTGACTTTGGCGACAACTACTGGAATTGAAAAATCAGAAAACGATATTCCTGATTTGGAATTAAATACTAAAAATACAACAACAACGATGTTTCAAATAAAAGAAATGCCAATCACAGAAGGCACAAATATTTACTCTACAGAAAAATCTGAAATTGAAGAAAACACCAATACTTATGTAAAAATTTCAATTGCTAACAATAAAAACGCATCAGTTTCAGATTCAAAATTAGAAAAAGAGGTATTTGTAAATAAAATAATAGAGAATAATGACGTAAAGCAAACTGAATCTACTATAAAAGACATTATTGGGACCACCACATCTAGTACTATGAAAACTATATCATTGAATGATGAATTTAATACAGCAAACAATACTTTTCAAGAGAAATTACATATTAACGAGACCAAAGATTACAAAAATGAATCATCAATTGAAGGTTTTGTGAGTAACAAAATTCACAAAGGACCTGAAACCATGCACAAAATAGAGGACTTCAAGAAAAAAATTCAAAAAGTAAACATTGATGACAAAGAATTAGTAAATGAGCGCAATAATTCCTGGAAGTTGATATCTACAGTATCTCCACCTAAGTCCATTGATGAGATTTCAAAAAGTAAAATAAATAATAACCGTAAACACCCCGTCGACAACAACGCGAATAAAGATATAATATTGGAATTTTCAAAAGAGAATCAAGGATTAGAAGTCACTACTAAGGATTTGGAAGACGATATTGCTAAATTCACTGAATTATGTAATGAACTTGCTTTTAGATATTGGAATACTTTAATTGAGAATATTGATAAAAGAAGGAGTTTTGTATTATCACCTTACTCCATCACGTCAATGTTGGCTATGATGTTTATGGGTGCTAGAGGTGCCACTTCTGGGGAGATGAACGATATTTTAAAATTAGATGATATGGTAACATTTAATCCTCACTTTACGTTAAAAAATATATCCGATTCTATTGAAACTACCCCAGAATCTGGAGTTATTGTTTCTGCTTTTATAAGAGAACTTTATAGCGACCGAACAAAAGGCAAAATTTTAACTTTTTATAAGGAGAGGGCACAGCAGTTTTATAGTGGACACGTGGAAGAGATCAATTTCAAGTTAATTAGTGATATTATTAGAAGACGGACTAACATGTTGGCAAAAAGATTCACTTGGGGTAGAATACCAGAATACATGAAAGCTAATACCATTACCATGCAACCACCTCTGGCAGCATTTTCTGCCAACATTTTCCAGGTAAATAAATACTAGAATAATATTAAACTATATTACAATATTTTTATACATAAGGCGTAGCATAATATCCTACCTCATTTGATGTTAAGTGTGACTGGAGTTTAATTTAATTGATGTACGGCAGGGAAATATTAAACAAAATCAATTTTATCGTGAGGTTAGGTTATTTGAAGATATGTTTTGCAAATTGAATGTTATACTCAAAATGTAAGTAAAGGTTTTTACTTGTAACAATACAGAACAAACCGCCGCTCACAGACGAACGCTTCAATTCATTATATTCGACGTTTTGCTATAATCTAATTATGTAAACCAACGAGTGAATTTGGTCTAACATTACTTTGCTGTAACTCGTATGCGAGTAACGTGAATGGAACTGCGTGGGGTGAGAAACGAATATAAAGGATTATTATAAGTTAAAAACTCACTTGATGTGATATTTATGTCGATCGTTACATGGACATGCTCGAGAAAATGTTTTCGTGTATGTACTTTACTTACCTTAATCAAGTTGTTTTGCCTTTTATCTTTCATCAATCAATAATTAGTATGCCAAAACTAAGTATGGGCCTAGAGTAATTTCTCCTAAGCTTTCTAAAATAGTTAACTACTATGTTGTATTATATCCCTTTGTTCCTTACAGATCGCTCAAATTATTATCTTGGGTGTTAGGTCATTCCTATTATACCACCGAATACTCATCTGGGTCTTTAGAACTATAATTAACTAAGTTTGTTCTAAACCAAATACCTAAACAATATCTACAAACAAAATATTAATTTTATTTTATTTAACATTTCAGACTGACTGTACAGGATCATCAGTAGAAGGCAGAGATGGAGAAATGTACTTTGTGGTTTCTCCAACGGTTCGTCAAAGGCGACTTGTTCCTGTTCCTGCCGTAGTTTATAGAGGAGGCTTTTTGGCAGGTTATGATCCAGCATTAGATGCTACTGCTGCTGCTTTAGGAAATACGAACTCGATTATAAGTACCCTATTTGTCATGCCCGGTCAACAAGGAAATGTGGTACATGGAGAAGATTTAGAAGCACTTGAACGACGTTTGCTGGAAGCAAATCCAACGACACCAGCATGGAATCGCCTTTTGCGTACTTTACTGCCTAGAATAGGCCTCGAGCTTCAGATACCTAGATTTTCTCACAAGTCCATTTTTAATATTTCTTCTACTTTAAAGAATATGGGATTGAAAGATTTATTTGATGCGGACCAAGCTGATTTAGGAGGCTTAAACGGTCCGTCCAAAGACCTATATTTATCGGATATGATTCAATCTACGACATTTGTAACTTGTGGAGAAGGTGTCGTTAGTGAACAACATCACTTAGAAGAATATCCAGAATCGGTAGTAAACGTTGCCAGGCGGCGATCTTCGAGATGGGCTTCGGATTGGGACGAACCCAGAGATTATCAACGAGCATTCCATGATCCTCACGACGTGGGAGAAGCTATGCATTTACCGCTACATCTCCGTCCAAGACAGGCGCGTCTTCCATCGAGGAATGCTCAACCAGCTAGATTAAAATTTGACAGACCTTTCTTATACTTTGTTAGACATAATCCTACCGGTATGATCTTGTATGTCGGTCGGTACAACCCACGGCTCCTACCTTGAACTTAGCAGACAAGACTGTTAATTTAGTGTAATTAATTCCTAAAAGGAAAGTGATAAGGGAGCAGCTGGCGTGTGTGATATACAGTGTTTCCCGATTGAGCATTATTATGACAGTATTACTTATAAATCGGCACGCAGTGAAGTTTATCGAAGGTGCCGTCAGCAGCATATCAGTGTACAAAGAATGACGACGGTATTAGTATAATGCCTGCATAGTTTATATTTTATTGCAATTTAGTAGTGTGTGTTGATGAAATTATTGTCATCTCATCTTTATCATAGTTTTTATTGTAGAATAAAATTGATGTTTTATGATATAAATCTATTGTTATTTGTAATAGTATTCTTTACATTCGTCGTAAAATTTCTTTAGACCCTCACATTCCGGAGTTGGTACTATAACTGGACAATTCTGAAAATAAATTATTTCAAGCATTAATTTGAAAATATTTGCGAATGAATGTATGAAAGATAATTTTAATACAGGTCAAATAACATTTATGTCGGATTTAGGCATCAAATTGAGAGTGAAACGAAATTGAGTGCTTATTTGAATATTAGTATGCGGTACTAGTGCAAAAAATAATTTAAACAAACTATGATTTTAACCGTGTGACTACTACTCATATTATATCCATCCAAAGATCTATATTTATCAGATATGATACAATCTACGACATTTGTAACTTGTGGAGTAGGTGCCGTTGGTGAACAACATCACTTACAAGAGATTTATTAACAGATTTTAATAAATGAACTTAACGAAAAAAATATTGATGATGATCAATGGTACTTACCAAGTTGACATAATTCCGTATGCAAGATTGGAAAGTGAAAAATTCACATTTTTTCAGCGGCATGTACGTTTTATAGAAAAGTTTGCAATGGACCTTTGCTTTTGTAATCACTTCAGCGAAATTCGAATTAAGATCAACCCATCTATCGAGATGCGAAAAATATTTTTCGTCGTCCAGTAGTTCATCATACGTGATAAGATCGTATGATTTTAATACACATTCCCAAAACTCACACTGAAACATGTAAATCATAATGTAAACGATAAGAAAAAAAAGATACAGTTTAGTTGGTGGGTACCACAGATAACAGTCTATATAATTATTATATAGATCACTCTATAGATTCATTTAAAAAATGACAAAGTTTGGTAGGTCATCTCATATCAATGAGATTCTTATCTGTCTTATGATGTTCCATCTTTAAAGTTCACTGTCTTTGTATAATACTATAACAGCCCCTCTAGGAATCTATGTATGCTTAAGCGCAATACCAGATGAGCAAGAATGATCTCAATCGACATCTGTCTTTTACGACATGGCCCTGTAAAGCTACTTAGTGCATAATTAACTGCACATGTCCAGATGTTCTAGCTTATCAAAGAAAACAACAAAAAATTCAGGCCAGGTTCAATAATCGCGTAAAGATCGCTTTATTTATGGAAATTCCTATGAAATAATTCAAAGAAAAATGCGTCACCGCTTTTAGTGATAAAAGCAGATAAATTATAGAATCAAAGTGATTTAAATTATAGATATAGCCTTTGTAGCTAAAACCACCATCGATTCTGTGCTCCTGTGTGCTGCCTTTAGAGCTTATATATAGAAATGAGAATAACAATTTCACTGCTATATTTAGGCAGACGAATAAAACAACAGTACCTCTATCACAATAGTTAAAATAGATTTACCTTACTGAACATCTGTCTCTTTATCGTTACAATGTCTACATCGTCAAGCATCTCACTGACCGTGAGCTTAGCGCCGCATTCTCGAGCAACGTCCCGCGTAAAGAACGGTGGGAATATGCAACATTGCTTGTACTAAAAAAAGTAAACAAAGTACATATACAAATACTGGCATTGACAGTTAAAATCTTCGAATAGCCTTTTTGTTTTTAATCATACTTCCCCTGAACTCTCAAAAAATTGCCTGAATTTTCTTAAACTATTTTGTATGTAAGTACATATAATGCGATTCAACTAAGAATAGGACCGACTGGGCGCCATATTGTGACGTCATAGCTGTCAAGTCAAACGAAATAGGTAGAGTGAGCAAAAAAAGTTTTTATTTAATAAAACTTATTCACTAAGATTAAGTGAGAAATAGCATCAGATTTTTTTAATAAAACTTATTTACTGAGATTGAGAAAAGAAAACAACCGATTCTTAATAGTATTTATTTACTAAGACTGTGTGAGAAAAAACATTAATCAGAATTAAGCTCTTCAATTCCGCTCATCTCTGCATTACCACAGGAGTAGTTATGAATAATCATGCACTATTACTAGGTCACATACGAACATGCATCCTTTATGTAAACGAAACTTTCAAATCGAGTTTCTGAACGCAACTTAAAATGACATTTGGTTGACGATTTAGGTTAACAAACATTCATAGCCAAAGCTCAATAAATGAAAAAAAAATATCAACCAATATTAATTATCAATATTTGTTATTGTTTGTTTACAAATGTTTGATTTTTATTCTAGAATTAGTAGAGTGCTAAAAATAGATTTTAAGTTTTTTTTGCAAACCGTACTTTTCAATCGACATTTGACAGATGGAGGTCATTGGCTTTCCTATTCTTATTTGAATCGCATTATTAAGTTGTCCAAACTATCTGTGGAAGTAATTTCTATTACCTTTGATTTTGTAGTAACAGCTATTTAATTAACAGAATACAATACACACATATAACGATTTTCTGATAATTAAGCTAAAGAAAGCAAGAAATAAAGGAGTAATGGAAATGTGAGGCACTTCTTTAAGTTCTCCATAGCTCCCAGTATTAAATGGCAATTATAAACTTACCATTGTGTTTGTCATATGACACTTGTTTGGCACTGGCGGCAGGTCGGGGATATCGACAGGCTTTTTCAAGCCTATCGCCTTTTAAAATAAAAATATAAAATGTTAATGAAGTATTAATTATTTATGCAATTATTGTTTGATGAGGAGTATTAAATGATAATGGTAGGGTGGGTAAAATTACCAGTAATTGGTCCCTTAGTGACGTTAGTGACTTTGCAGATATTGTGCTAGTATTCTAATCATAATAGCTACATTTCCATTAAATATTCTCATAGACTATTTTGAGGTCATTTAATTGTATTAAATTTAATAATAAAGCATAACATTATATTTTTTTTATCAAACATAAAAATAGCTTTTTTAGTATTAACTGGCTACAAAAAATAGTGACTGACATATACTAATTCAGTAAGGGGCAGTGTGAAAAATATCGGTTTACGTTATATGTTTTGCAACTAAATATTAGTATAAGACAAAATCATTAATCAAACTAAGTACAATATTAATATAATATTTATATCTTACAATCTATACTAGATCAGTCATCTTCATTATCATGTCAGCCATACGTCGCCCGTTGTTGAGTATGGGTCTAATCCCAAGCATCACCATACCGATCGGATCTGCACTTTTTTCATACAACGGCTTCCCGCGACTTTCACCAGATCGTCGGTCCATCTTGTGGAATTCCACTCTCTGAGCGTCGTCGGGTGCATGGTCGCCAGTCGAGAACTTTTTTGTCCCATCATCCATCGGTTCTCCTCGCTACATATCCTACCCTGCTACCCACTGCCACTCTGCTGATGCGGACAAATCGTGCGACGTGGATCACTTCAGTTCTCCCATGGATTTCCTGATTTCTGATTCAATCGCGTAGGAAAATACCGAATAACGCTCTCTCGATTGCTCGTGTATAACCTTAAGCCTTCTTACAAGACCCGTCTGTTTGGATGGGTTTTATAGGAAGGCTTGAGATTATCTTGTGCTTAAGCAATCATGGTCATGTTTCGCTTCCGTAGGACATCACTGGTAAAATACATTGATTGTTTAAGTTATCACTAGTAAGACAAATCAAATAGATTGTTTGAGTCATCACTTGCAACACAATTGCCTAACACCGACGTTTGTAATAAGACACTGAATTAATTTAGACGCAAAGATTTTGCTTAGTTTCCCTTGGCGCTGTATGCAGGAAGAAGCTCAATACAGGCCGGTAAGGTGAGAACAGCTGGTGTGGCAAGTAAAACTGCAGTGTCTTCAGCAGGTCAGGTTGAGAGGAGTAATTTACTGGACCTTTATAAAAAAGGTTTATTTTAACCAACATTCCTACATAATACATTCTCCTTAACTTTTTCTAATACACATGGGCTCAATAATGCTTTGGACCTTACGTCGCCAGGGGGCCAATCGCCTAACGGAAATGCTTTGGAAAACGCTAACGCTTACCATTTTATTTTGTTATTTCTAGCCGCCTGAGGTATTCAAATGCCTCGCGCTCTTTCTTTTTCTTTTGCATTGGTAATAACAATGTTAAAAAAAATGAGCGTGAGGTATTCGAACACCTCAGGCGGCTAGAAATAACAATATAAAATCGTAAGCGTTAGCGTTTCCCAAAGCATTTCCGTTAGGCGATTGGCCCCCAGATCTTTTCTTTCGAAAAGTATTGTGTTTCCTTTTAGAAAATTTCAGACGCATTATTACATTCGATCCTGGTGCTTGTGGCGCAGGAGCTGCTAAATCTCTCTTTAAGGATACGTATGTAGAACTTTGCGATGTAGATTTCTGATTCGCGTGATGGGTGGACATACCAATCATTCGAGCTAGGTTGCCTGCCACACTTGCAGAATGGCAGCACGATCCACCGTGGCTGCGAGTGATAAGTTCAAGATGGGGGTAGTTCAATGACAAAAAAGATGAATATTCAGTAGAATTAGTTGAAATACTCTTGGTAGTAGATCTTATATGATCCTCATCTGCTTCAACCTGCAGCAACCGGTTTATGAGATCTTGTTGTTATATTTAAAATATGAAATTTAAGTTGATGTTTGCACCACACGACCGTTAAAGTACACTATTTCCTTTATACGGCTCATCAGTGACTGTCAGAGTGGCTCTTGCATATTTTCTTGAAAATCCACGTTCTGTCAGATTTATAACTTACTTACTTTTAGGTAATAGGGAATATACATGTAATGTAATTTAATATGCTATTTTTTATTTTATTAGACATAAGAAAACAAACTTTAAAACTGTATAACTTAACCTAATTACATACTTTAAATAAATAATTTACAAAATAAAAAATATATTATCCCCATCGCCGCTATCAGGAATGGTGCCCAATAGGCTAGCAGCATTGCCGCGATGGATGGCAATGCTGATCCGTTGACCTAGATAGCTGCCAGCCTTTTGATCACTAGTCACTTCAGTGAGCCTCATTCAACCAATTACATGTAATTCAAATAAACCTCATTTTTCTTTTATTTATTTATTTATTTTAACTTTATTGCCAAACATTGCAAATGCTGGTGTACCTCAGGGTGGGATAATTTCTCCTTTGCTTTTTTCTGTTTTTATTAACCTCCTTTCCTTCTCGCTTGGCTGCTATTACCATTTCTATGCTGATGACCTACAAATCTATACTCAGACGTCGGCTGAGGACGTTAATATGGCCATCGAAATGTTAAACCATGACTTGCAACGTGTTAGTGCTTGGTCCGCCGATTTTGGAATAAAAGTGAATCCATCAAAATGTCAGGCCATTATCATAGGCGGCTCTAAACAAATTGCCAAAATCGATCATAGGTCTCTCCGGTCTGTCGTGTATGAGGGCACGATTATTCCGTTTAGCACAAGTGTCAAAAATCTTGGCCTTTACATTGATTCTACTCTTAGCTGGAACAAACAAATTGCCGAAGTAAGTCGCTAAGTTATTTACTCACTTCGTTTTTTAAATAGATTTAGAAATTTTCTCCCCATCAACACAAAAATTTTCCTTGTTACATCTCTCATATTCCCGCTCATTGATTATGCTGATGTCTGCTATCCCGATCTGAATGCTGATCTTCTGAACAAATTGGATCGTCTCATCAACAATGCCATTCGTTTCATCTTCTGCCTACGTAAATTTGACCACGTATCTGCGTTCAGATCTCAACTTAGATGGCTTCCCATACGTCAGAGAAGGCAGTAGAGAATGCTCTGTACTCTATATTCTATCCTGTTCAACCCTCACTCTCCAGAAAACTTACGATCCAAATTTCAATATCTTTATGAATCACATGACCTTCAACTCCGTTCTACTGATACTCTTGCACTATCTCTTCCTCTCTTTCACTCTGGCTATATGTCTGATTCCTTTGCCCTTCAATCTTCACGACTCTGGAACAGCCTCCCTGACAAGGTCACCTAATAGGTTCATTTTTAAGAAGAAAGTTCATGTACTTCTTCTAGAAAGCTAATAACGTTAAACTTTACTCACAAGTTCCCTTCACAGTCTCGTCATCAATATATTTTATAAACTATGTTAATAATGATTATGTATGTATGTATGTATATATATATATATATATATTATAAATATTATATATATTTATATTAATTGTATTCTATGCATGTATATTTAGGGTTTTTTTTTTAAATAAATATATATGTAGTTACTTTTATTGGTGTATGTTTATAGTTAATCACTTTTTTTTTATATAGCCGCATTCGTGAATTTCTCTACGCCTAAAGGTTGACTGGCAGAGAATGCTTTTAGCGTTAAGTCCGCCTTTTGTCCATTTTTGTAATTGTGGCAATAAAGTTTAAATAAACATGAGCAAATGGCGGACTTAATGCCATAGGCATTCTCAACCAGTCAACCAGTATGATTGTTGGAGACAAATAGTATGGCGATAGGGCAAAGTTGCTAAAAATTAAATAAAATGAACATTAACAAAATAACAGCAATAAAATAATAATACTTAAATACAAATTTTATATAAACTCTATTAATTTTAAGTTGTCCCTCCATCAATATTTCTTTGGGGGCAAAAAATTAATGATATAAATATATCTAAGATAGAATATATATAAATATATATAGAAAATGATATATAAGATTTTTTTATACTGTAGGTATAGAAGGGATGTAAATTACTAAATGAAAATTTAAAAGAAGATCATGCATATTCCATATTGTTAAAGCCTTGCTAAATAAGTTCAATTACGCAAATAAATAGTTTGTAAAAATGATTCAATAAATATACTTACAAGACTCGTAGGAATTAAGAACCAAAAAAAGATTTCCATAATGTATCACAAATAAGATATGAACTGAATTACTAACGGTCAATAAATGCGTTCGTTAGTGAGTGTTTCCTATTTAACGTCTATTGGATATGTTTTCTCAAAGTTGAGCTCATGTTTAACAAATATTACTTACGAAAATGTAAACTTTGGTACATATATCGGTTAAATGAGTTACATGAGTTTAATGCCTGAAATTTTTCAAAAGTTGCTTCTGTTATATTTGTTTCTAAAGTATTCAGGCACACCGCTCATTAAATAAAACCACTTTTTAACGGGCTTAAAATGTGTTTTTAATTCTTTTTAACCACTTTCAGAGTGCATTATCATAGTCTCTATAACTTTAGTATATTATAGTACATTTTATAAATGCATTTTGAGCTCTTAAAAAGTGATTTTATTTCTTCTATTAGGTATATAACTATTATATTGATTTTCTTCGCAAATCGCATCGCTTTGTGACCAGCTGTTGGTGAGTGGCGACACCACTGGTAATCCGGGTGCTCCCGAGAACCGAAGAAGACCCTCATCTCCGGCTTACTGGAGTCGAATCCGAGAAAGTCTGCAGCATCTTAACACTGGCTTGCCTTCATTGGCTATCCAGGATGGAGTCGAGAGCTATATGTCCGCAGCTGGAAGTGAAATGCGAAAGACGCGAGGTGGCACGTTGTCTTCATGGATAGCTGGTAGAAAGCGGTGTACACCTAGGCTACCATCTGACGGGCTTCGCCGCATTTGGCGCTAAGATAAGACAGGCACTTGTGAATTTCGATCTTTGCTCACGTAGCCATGACACGCTCGCACCGTGCGTGCGCTACGAGCCACACGTACGTGATTGTGCGTGAACGTAGTCCACGCAATGCATTGATGGAAAAACGAGATACCGCCAATTTGCGGGACGTTTTGTTTACGTTCAACGAACGAATTAGAACGAAGGCTAACTTATTATCCTTCGTTCTAATTCGTTCGATGAACACAACCAACTAAACTAATCTTAATTAGTTTCTTAAGTTGGCTTTGAGTTGTTTTTACTATAGACAGGTATTTTTCTAAAAAATCAGGCGCTTTGTGCATTCTAGTCACGCTTCCTCCCTAAAATGGATGGTAAGGCTGTTTGTCCACCGCCGCCGTCACCGTCACGTCACCGAGAACGAGATGACGGCGCCGAAGTAGCGGTACATACATTTACTTAAGCCGCGTGTCCACCGCACATCCGTCACCCGAGCGCTGTCATCCCGGCCGGCGAAATTGCGAGTAGGTCGGCGTGACCGCTAGAACGTGGCCCGAGATTTTGACGGGCCGATGTGCCGGCAATACAAAACACGTATGAACTTGTCCACACACTGCCACGAGCTCAGTTCAGTTGTCTGTCATCAATTATCATACTATATCATTGTAATAAAAATTTAAATACGATATTTATTCATTAATAGAAGTTATAGAAAGTAAAGAATGTTTGTGGGATAAAACCAAGGAAGTGTCCAAAGATAAAAATTTGCGTAGAAATGCGAACAAACTAAACCATCGGTCGCGGTGGACAAACGATCGCCGTCACGTCATATTAAACTCGGCCTGAAATAATCTCGTTCTCGGTGACGTGACGGTGACGGCGGCGGTGGACAAACGGCCTAACCCTATGTACACCTCTCCACATCCTGCATCTGAGGCCATGTTACTCCACAGTAGATCCAACAGTTTTCTTTACACACTGGGGATAGTCTCCGAGTATATCAGTATGTTGTAGTCAGAGATTAGGTCTAGTATGTATATAGGTAGAAGCAAACTTCTTGGGCAAAACCACAGATAAATAAACTTGCGCAGTGGACTTTTTTTATGTAACATTGCCTCTGCGCAGGCTTCCTTGTCTATTGGCGTTGCTAAAGAAGATTGTTGACGAAGTAGACGTTGCTAAATTAGCCTCTACGTATAGGATTTATATCACCACGCAAGCCATAAAGGATCGGTATCCTTAGCTCGAATCAATATTGAATTCGAATAGTTTACGAGTACGAAATGTAATTGTCAAATTTTGTATGGAAACCTGAACGTGCAAACAAGCGTGGCAGACGTCAAACCACCCCACCTTCGACCAGCAACCTGGACTGTACCCGCTTCAGCAGATCTTGGGCTTCTTCGTTCACAGCGTCACCTGACTTGTCCCACGAACCGCTGTCCGAGCGGCTGCTGACCTGCTCCCGTACCTACCAGGTAAACTAACTCCCTGATCTACCCCTACCCTCCAGGCGTAACTGCGGGATCCAGTTGAGTCGCCGCTTGTCACGCCTGGGAAGGTTCTGTAGTCCTGACAAGGTCCCCTACATTGTAACCTGGGGATGTTTTTTTTTCATTGTCTACCCTCTCGTCTCGAGTATCGTTAAATAGGTCCTTTAAAATTACTTAGGAGTTTCTAAAACTGTTTTTCGATTTAAGGATCCGTTCGCGAAATATTGAATTTTAAAGTGTGAATTTGTGGTGGAGTCCGGCCGTCGCGTCCCCCCTCTAAAGGCTTGAAAAACCTGGAAAAATTATGATAGTAATTCTTTTCATATACTTTTAATAAAAATTATAATAGTTTAGATAGATTTGTTAGTTTAAGAGTAGTAGTCGTTCAACTTTGATTAAAGAAATTTTCTTACCTTTCGAAAATTTGTTAGAAGAAAACATTAATAGTGACATAAATGAAGTTATTGTACCGTAAATAAAAAATAAAAAAGCTTGCATTGAAAAATATAATCTTAAGAAAAAATATTAGGAACTACAATAAAATATCATTAGTTCCAAAAAACTACTGCAATGCGAGTACCTTTTTTTTTGAATGATGAGAAATTTCTTGACGGACCGTACGTACCGTGCGCCTCGCCAGCGCACGGTACGTACGGTCCGTCAAGAACCTACCTACCCACCCACTAAAACTCACCGGTACCCTCCTACGCCCATGTGGGAGCGTCGGGATCGGCGCACCTCTGTGGGCGCCATTTCACCGGTCCGTGCAATGCGAGTACCTACGGCAACGGCTTCTGAATTGAATCTTTACGTAATTTATTATATTAAGGTGACATATCTAAGCACTTGAAAAGATCGGCGGTTATCATTCGTATAAAAAAAAATATCGAATTGATTGTGAGTTTTTAGACGCAGTTTGACTTTGATATAAATATTTTAGTTGAGATACATAGTTTGATATTATTATTATTTTTATTTTCCAAAACAGAAAATAAAGACTCCTATTCAAATATATTTTGGTAATGGCAGGCAACTATGGAACCCTACACTGCGCGGGGCACGATATGCACTTGCCCGGTATTTTATGATATAATGTCGGTGACATAATTATTTTATGTTGACTTAAAACAGGGCCCAGGTTACATCTGTCCCGAGAGACCCCATCTGGCTCTAGCTGAGCGTAATAAATAATATTTTTGTTTTCACAATTGTTTTCAACTCAGTAATTGATAAATTGAATTTTTTAATATAATGAATACTAAATAATAAATCTTTACTATTATTTTTAAAATTTTCTAACTTGTCAAAGCCAAAGTAAAAAAAAATAAAACATTACTTTTATTTAAGGCAATTATATTGAAGTATACAATACCTGATTATGTATAATAGTAAATTACAATAAATAATATTCATTCGTTGATATAACACTATATTTACACAATATATCGCTACTGATATTTATTTTTTAACACATAAATCGCACTAAGGTATTCACTGTTTCCTGTTGAACAAGGGTGCACATTCTTCTATGTGAGATTTCAATTTCTGGCAGCCATCCGTTGCTTCCCATTTCGGACAGAACTGAAAACAGAATTAAATATTTTATCCTGTGGTATTAAATTAAATTTGTTTGCCGAAGTCTGTTTCGGTTTTCCTCCTATTTCCCATGTATTTCCAAAGAAATGTATTTTTCTTATAGGTAGCGAGTGTCCTAATGTATGACCCTCGTCAGCCCTAATTATAAGATTGATCCCTATCACCTTCTTAGTTCCCTTTGCTATAAAATTCATCAAAATCGTTTCAGCTGTTGACGGACAGAGTTACTATCAAAACTATAATATTGCCTGTTCACCATATTCTTTACAGAAGAAGAGCACAGCTTTTATTGAGTAAGGTTTCAGACACACTGGGTATTTATAGGATTGGCCTTAGGACGGCAGGGTGAGGATGGCTGTAGCGACACACGCTTTTGTCGAATCAGCTATCTTCGAGGCTGAGACACTTCTTATAATGATATCATAATATTGGGTGATTTAAGAGACCAAGGTCTCTTTAAAATTACCCTTTAATTAATTCGTTACAAGTAACGAGAAAAAATTACATTAAAATTGATGTTCTTACTTTCTCTTTGTTGGCAATAGAATAAAACAATAACATGAATTTAATATAAGTTGTCATGTACGAATGTAAGATAATCAGAGACAAAGATTAGGTTACCTCAATCAGGGTTGAAGAAACACAAAAGACTATCTTGTTGGCTTCACAAATATACGGAGGTCCCGGGAGCGGCTTGCCAATGCACCGTTCCTTGGCTGCGTCGACGCTGCTCTTGAAGTCTGGGTGGGCCTCGACCCATTTGTCCATGAACTTGGCTAAGGCCTCGAAGTCAATGTTGTCCTCTTTGGCGAGGTCGTACTTTTTCAACATGCACAGTTGCTTTGAGCACTGGAAATTTTGAATACAACAATGATTAACAATAAAAACCGTGTTCGCAGATACGTTTTGACATTGATAGTACTCTTAGAATTAAAAATGTATAACAAAGTGTAAAACAAATATTGAAGTCGCGGAATAATATAGAAAAGTATTTCCCCGTTGCGTAAAATGAAATTTCTTCATAAACTTCTCGTTTATCTAATGAATTGAAATGTAAGCAAAGAGTGTAAACCGTTCTATCTTCCGTTAAAACAATTGCTATAGCAATTAACATTTTATGCTGCAAATGAAAATACTAATAGTTTATACTATGGTAACTATAGCACATTTTGAACAATAAACTACTAGATTGATGCATATGATGATCCTGTCTGTTGTCTGAATCGAGTGGATGAAACAAACTATATACTACTTAATAGGTAATTTTTCATCGTCATCATCATAACATCATAACTTACATCAGGCGGGCCGTGTCTTTCGTGTGGATGTTCATCGTCCGCTTTCTTGAAACCACACTCCTCGAAGTCGGCATCTTCGAAGAAAGGCGGTATTTTACAGCATTCGTGAGGTTTTTCCTGTAATCAAGATTTGGGTCACAAAATCAGTCAATACCTATTATCCAGTTGTAAACTTTTCCAACTATTAAGAGTAAGGATCCCTTAACAAAACAGTGTGGAAAAGAAGTAACTATTAAATGTGAGTTGCAACACAGAGTCGGATAAAGTTAAATAAATATAAATGAATATTTCCAACACTCACACCAATTAGCCTAGCCCCAAAGGAAGCACTGTAAGGCTTGTGTTATGGGATACTAGGGTATCGGATAGAATACACATACAGTACATATATAAGTATATTTATATAGAAATATAGATATTAAATATCCATGACTTGAGTACAAATGCTCGTATTCATTGCACATATATCTACCCCCACCAGGATTCGAACCCGGGACCTCTCAAATCGGCGACAACATGAAACCCGGCGTACAAACCACTCGGCCGCGGAGGTCGTAATTTTTTTTATATATTAGGTATAACTTTAACCAGCCTCGCTTGGACAATTATTGTCACTGTCATATTATGACCTCATTTTGACTATCATTAAATGGTGTAAAACTTGGGCTTAAACTGATGCTGTCACTTTTGTTTGCTAAAAGGAAAACAGAGACAAAATTAGGTTTGAACCAAGACCAACTTTAGTCAGCGTTTTGGAATAAAGCGGTTAACAGGTTAAGTTAAAGTAAGTTGGTGCAACTCACGCTAAGAGCTAGAGTCCGTAAATGAACGGTAAAAAAAAACTACCATTAAATTATTGCCGACCTTTAAATTTCAAAACTTAGAACCCTACCTCGACTAGTCATTTAATTTAATCGTTCATTAAATCACGTGAATTGTACCAAGACGTGACATCATGCGCATTTCAAATTAATAATTATATCTTTGTGACGACCTCCGTGGCCGAGTGATTTATACGCCGAGTTGCATGATGTCGCCGACTCGAGAGGTCCCGGGTTCAAATCCCGGTGAGGGCAGATGTCTTGTGTGATGAATAATACGAGCATTTGTACTCCAGTCATGGGTGTTTAATATGTATTTCGTTATGAATATACTTATATATGTACAATATATGTGTTCTTTCCGTTACCCTAGTATCCATTAACACAAGCCTTACAGTGCTTACTTTGGGCTAGGCTAATTGGTGTAAATGTTGGAAATATTTATTTATTTGTAATGTTTTCATTATGTGAAAAAAGAAAAATACGTTTCCAATACTTTTCGATGATCCACCTGATAGGAAGAAAAAAAAGTTAGTCATCAAACTTATTATAGCATCGAATTTTAAATAAGTTAAAATAAATAAACTTATTTCAAAATCAATACATATGAAAGGCCAACAAGCACATGTTGGGGTTAATGGTAAGTTGTCACAATATAGACGTCTGCAACGCTAAGAGTATCATACTGTTACTGCTGCACTCAGAGAAGAAGAAGATTGACCCTAAATATAGTAACTGAACACCCAGTTACTATATTACATGTGTACATTATTTAAGTTTACCTAGTAAAATTATGCTTTTATTGCGACGATAATCGTCGTTATTATATGTAGTTGTTGCTGGCTATCTTGATTTTATTATAACTGTAATTGCGTGAAACTTATTATGTAAAATTATTACTACTCAAGGTTCATCATGAAAATACCGGGTGAGTCATTTAATTGCAATCTTAAATGCACTTAATGGCCTTTAAGGAAGTCTGACCATTCTATTGTTTCATCTTTTTATAAATAATATGCGAATGTGTCTCTTGACATTTATATTTAATGAAGACATTAAAATTGTATCTGTTCTGTATGCGAAATAATAAATATAAATATTTTCAACACACACCAATTAGCCTAGCCCCAAAGAAAGCACTGTAAGGCTTGTGTTATGGGACACTAGGGTAACGGATAGAATACATATATTTTACATATATAAGTATTTTTATATAGAAATTCATATCAAACATCCATGACTGGACTACAAATGCTCGTATTCATCACACAAACATCTGCCCCCGCCGGGATTCGAACCCGGGTCCTTTCGAGTCAGCAACACCATGAAACCCGGCGTATAATCCACTCGGCCACAGAGGTAGGCGAAATAATCACCCTGCGGTCCAAGTTTATCCAAAATATAAGATCGTTATTTCGTAATATACAAATAAATTGAAAACATAAGGTCTCGGTGCCAGACCTCGTCTGCTAATCGGCAAAAGGTAGCTTCAGTTCACTACAATTTATTATTGTACCTTAATGCTATGCTTAGGCGTAAAAAAGTTGAAAAGAAATCTGAGCAACTACTCTCAAATTCAAATGTATTTTTATTGGTTTCAAATCGATACCAGTTTCAAATTTGACCATCACGGATCGGGGTCATAACATAGGTAATTAAAAAATCTAGATTGCTTCGGTACCACTGTTTAGGTGAGGTTAGGATTTTTAAACGCTTTTTTGTTCAATTTTGCTTTATGTCTTTTTGTTAGTAGCTTGCTTGCATGGATTTGTTCCTTAAGCGGCCTCGCAATGTCTTAGTGGGAGGTCATAGTTTTTGTTATAAGAAGATAAAGAGGATAGGACACACGGAAGAGCAAATTTGGCAAAAATCAAAATCAAGTTGGTCACGTATTGCACATTTTCAGAAGCATTTCCGCGTACGATTAATCTGTGGAATGAGCTGCCTGCAGATGTTTTCCTAAAAGTATCATAAGTTAAACAATAGAATCATAGAACTTCCTTAAAAGCCATTGAGTGCATTTTAGAATACGTGCTGGCCTACACGTTGTCACCGACTTACTGTGGTAACTATTACTACACGAACAAAGACATTTGGTGACTCATTACTTTGTCGTACTATTCGCAAGGGGAATTCTTACATCGAAAAGTATTGGAAATTTATTTTTCTATTCTCACATAATCAAAACATTGCAGAGATATATTGATTTGAAATGCGCATGATGTCACGTCTTCGTACAATATTTACTTAGTAGTGACGTCACGAGCAACCACTCTTAGGCCCGTATTACAGAATGACAACTAAAAGTTGATCTTTACTTGAGTACAGTTAGAAAGGGATGTCGCTATGTGCTGTATATAGCATTATCTCTTTTCTGACTATGCTCAAGACTAGATTCATTACTGAGAATCTTTCTATAATACGGGCCTTAGATTTTGACGCGCTTTACCTCTGTAATTTTTTGGTTGACTGACAAAAGAAACAGCAAGTGTCCATTTAATATTTGATAATCTTACTGACCTATTACATTTGTCTGTGGAAGCTGTGGTATTCGTACACTTACCGTAACTTGAGGTGGTCCTCTGCATTGCGGCGGAATGTTGGGAGGGAACGGCGGAGGCCCTTGAGATGAGATCACCTTGAATAATTAAAACGAAAGCCAATTAGTTAAGTTCTTGCCACTATTAACGTTTTTATTGTCGTCATCATTGTTGTATGACTTAATTGTAGCTTCCCTATGGATATGAGCATGGAGCTTCCCTGTGATATGGTTTGTTGCTTCTGATGTCGCAAGATTTTGCAAGCTGAGAACAAACGTATTTACTACTTTTAAGTTTTTTTTAAGGATTTCCTGCTCGAAATCGAGCGTCCGTTTGGGGGAGTAGAATCCCACCTTTTTGAAGACCACAGTAAAATAACACTACCTTTTGATGGGTATTGTGTTTCTGTCGGTAAGTAAGTTTCCAGGGCTCCGCGGGGTAAGGGATATTGTCAGGGTAGCCAACGGTGATAGAGTCTGTGCGGAAAGAGAATGGGATTTAGATTGGAGGGCGTTGTAGTTCTTTTCTACCGTATTAGTAAGGTTTTACCCCTTTTAGACCTGATTAAATACAAAAAACCGCAAGAAATCACAACAATTAACAAATCCGTATCAATACAAATCTTTGACGTTTTACAGATTGCTGGGTTTAATTGCCAAATAAAAATCTTAATGTTAGTTCCGTTTTTCGCCACGCCCATTCTCTTTCCGGACAGACTCTAGTGATATCTTTTGTATCGAAAGCGTCTATAGGTTATGGTGGCTGCTTAACATTAGGGGATAAGCTTGTTTGCCACCATTTAATTTTAAAAGGAGCTCAATAGCAAAGTGGTTAGCGCGTTCTATCTGCGATCGAAAAAGATAAGCAACTTTCGTAATAGCCGGTCATAAGATGGATGACCAAACATTGGGTCCGGTTGCATCTGCAGACGTTAGCATCCACCAACTTGCATTGGCCTGCGTGGTGGGTCAATCTAAAATATCTCTATTCCATAGGTAAAGCCAGTGCCCCATCAGTCTGGCCTAATAGGCTGGAGATGATGATTCACTGTTTCTCCACGTAGTAAAAATTGGCCAAGCACGAGTATGGTATGGTAGAGTTTTAGGGTCCCTTAAAATCATTTGTTTGTTTTCGTCACAACTTACAGAGTATAGAAACGACGTTTTAGTATTTATTGATCAAGTACAGAAGTTTGTTTGGTTTTTTTTGACAGTGCATTTATCGAGAAAGGCTGTAAGATATTTAATAGAAAAATATAACTAATAGGAGCACCAATCCGCACTGGGCCTGCGTGGTGGGTCATGGCCCAACCTCCCTATTCCATCTATAGGGAAGGCCTGTACCCCAGCAGTGGGGAAATTAATAGGCTGATGATGATGATAATGAACTAATAGGAGCAAAAATTTTTTTTTTGCAAAAATAAATTCATTTATGAGCTTCCGTTGCGTACGCTGCATATACGGTAAATGTTTCATAAAAATCATGTATGACGGATTTCTTTCCCTTTAAAAATTCTATAAAAAAGTTCGCAACAGCATATGTCTATCCTTTAAAGGTGACCTACTATAACTCTTTTCATCAAATTAATGCGGGTGAAACCGCATGGCAGCTTTAATTGTGATTTATTATTAATGTGACAAACTTACCTGAAACCCGATAGCGAGGAGGATTACAGAAACCTGTCGTATCATAGTGAGCGATGCAGCAGCCAGGGTGTTATGATGCGGTGACGTAAACCTCCACCGTTTTATAGCCG